ACTGACGTAACGCTTGATAATAAACATGTTAGAATAATATGATTGAACATCAGTTACAAATAGTGTGGGTGCATATCTGAAAAATGTCACACCGACGTAATTTGGATTAATTTTCAATCACCTGATTCTTACGCCCCGAAATCTGTAGATTTTGTTTTCGTGGAAGTATAGTAACCGATGATTACGAAAATCATTTGTCCGGTAGGCAGAAAAAATTCAGTTATGTCAAAAGTATTCCTAGACGCTTTGCAAAGAACATAGAGGGCTTCAAACGTGCACGAAACTGCGAGAAATTACCTTCTTTATTGATGAAAGAAGAAAGGCTTCGCCAGAAATCTTGAAATGATCAATACGCGATTTCTGTGAATTTATTCTTGCTTTTGTAGACCAAAAAAACTTGCATATGTATTTACGTGAATGAAAGAACGATTCTTTAATCGAATGTACATTTGTTTTTCGATGAATTTTTGAACGCTGTTTTTACCGTGGCTGCTATTTCTGAATCGATGGCCAAACATTTTTGCGATAAAGCCGCAGTTAAAACGTCAGGATCGAATAATCACAATGCCGAGAGCGGACGTTTCCGGTGAAATTCGACGTTGAATTTTAGCACGCGTGCATATTGCGATCGTTGAATAAACAAATTCAGAATACTGCATAACAAAAACACACTGAAATAACACGAATAAAACTCTGTGTTGAAGTTGTCACAATGACGCTTATTTTTCAGTGTCACAGCTTATGTGTTCAGAAAAATGATTTGAATTTTTTGGAATAAAGAAGGAAACGGTTACTTCCAACGTAACCTTTCTCCAACGGAATCTTTTCGTTCTCAGCCTACGTAATGGCAATGTAAAACAAGAAATATATTAATCACGACATTGTAAAAACTGTTTTCTTGGTTGTTTAAAAAATTCCAAATTACTTTCACTAAATCTACTACTTTTATAAAATTCATTTTCCGAATATGTCGCTTTTCACGCTCTTAATTATACACGAATAAAACGGAGGAATAATTAAAAGATAGCGTCGCTTTTACAATAAAACATTAGCTGAATTGATTCATTACAGAACAATGACATCGCGGTTCGCGTTCGTCTCACGACAGCAGGGGAAAAAATGAGAATTCAGTGCGTCTGACTATCGAAGGCCGTTACTACTGTGCCGCGCGTATCGTCGACGATCTACAGTATAAATTTTTCCACCGGCACATGTACCGCTGCACGCAACGAGTTAATCGCTATGAACGTTCATATTTAATACACTGTATTTGTAACGAAGCATTTCGCGTTGGGGCGGTCGTCCAATTAATATTAAAGGCTGCATTATTATGATTAACGTAGCGAACGTTTCTCTGAGCAAAACAGTGTTAAATATAAATATATCTGGATCACCGATAAAATGTAATTACCAAGCGAGCCGACTCCAAAATTGAATTGCCGATATTAATTACGTAGCTATTTTCTGAAATAATGTCGGTACGAGTAGATCGTGAATATTAATTCATTAATCGAATACGATGAAACGCTGTGCACTCGCGAGTACCACGAGGCTTCCAATTCGCGTGTTCCCAGCTCCGAGAAAAGATTAAACACATTTGCGAGAGATTTAAACGTTAGCTCGGTTTGTCTGACTACTGTAAGCCTCTCTACTGGTTGGCTTCTCTAAAGAGGCAGACTACTGTAAAGCCACTTTTAAGAGAGGTATATTCAAGAAACTTTTGTAAAGAAACTAAGCTATGAATTAATTAATGTATCAGCATTCATAGAGATTTCGTCTTGAAATTGTGACATAAAATTCTCGAAATGCGTATCGTTTGAGAGATGCAAACAAAATAGATTTTACTTTAACTTTGGGAATGTTGTGCCTCGTTAAAGTTTCAGTAGCCTTCGATCATGTTTTTTTTTTTTCAACATACTACAAGCACAAATTCGAGCAACATATCTCAGTCTAGATAGTGGCAATGTAAAACAAAAAATAAAATGATCGTGACATTGTGAAACCCGTTTTCTTGGTTGTTTTAAAAATTCCAAATTACTTTCACTAAATCTACTATTTTTGTCAAATTCATTTTCCGAATATATCGCTTTTCCTCCTATTAATTATACACAAATAAAACAGAGAAATAATTAAAAGACAGCGTGGCTTTTACAATAAAACAATAACACAAACGTAAACGATATTAAAGCGTCGGTTTTACAATATTACAAACGATAAATTTCGTCGTCACACTGAAATAATCGAGTATCGAAATAATAGAAGAGGGAAAGTAACGTGTAGGGGAGCATTCGCTCCGTTACGAGCGAATGTGTCGGTTTATTGGTCTATTACTGACTGTATTAATTAATGAAAGCTGAATACGACAACGCCGGCACGTTGATGCATATCCATCGATATCCTCTGAAACGGTGGCTAGAAAACGACCAGTTGTACGGTAACAGTCAATAATACCAGCATTCGATACCGCGGCCCGACCTCGGCTTGTTGCTAAAATCGATACGTGACGTTGTATCAGCTTGCACCTCGAGCGGGCATCGCAACATCGCTGGCAAGTAATAAACACTTCCCTACGGTGGCTACGCCACGACGGGAAACACGCTTGTTCCAGTCTTCGTGTCTTCCAAGGGACGAGACG